TCCGTATTCGGCATCGCCATGGGCCCATCGACTTGCCAATTCATGCCGAATAGATACCAACTTCTTGAACTCGCACAAATGTTGTTCAGAACTTGTTGATCATGAACATGAAAATAATATTTGTTGTAAGATAACAACTATTTGCATAAATATTAATATTGACTTGCATTGATACGTGTATGTACAAGATATCATGCATAGCTTGCTAGACTTGTTTGGCTCCAGAGCTGCATATTGTCATTAAACCCTAGCTGGGTCTTCATTCTCTCTCTCTAGAAAAATTCCATGAGTTATTATCGTAATTTACGGTCATCTTTTGACCGGTTATATATGAAGCTAATTAGAAACTCCACTTGTAAGATGTGTTCTTGGTTAAGGTTACAGAGCTATTAATATACATTCGGGATATTCGGCTAGTGTATTGGCCTAGTACTTGCTTTCCTTCTCCTTGGTTCAATTTACTTTAAGTAATTTACTTCTTGAGATTATGAGAACATGTTCCATTTGACTGATTCACTCTCTTCGGCATGCCTTTTTGCCCAACTAATTTTTGGAGTTTGTATTTAATGGCTTGAAAGCTCTATTATTGGCCTCATAAACAGCACGTTCAGCACTTCCCAGACTGACCACAGCTTGGCGCTGCTCCTTAGTATAGCACCAGCACCTCGGCAAGCCAAGAGGAGTATCGATCGACACTCACAATTGGGTCAAGCTCGACTAGTACCAAGAGGATGGCCATGGAAATCAAGGTATTGCCAACACAAGTGTTTAAATTAACCCATTGCTACACGGATTGAAAACATTCGTCGGCAAGTTATTCGGCAAACATTACACGTAACATTTCTTATTTGGCACATTATTTGGTGTTCGGCATAGACATGTTACTCGGCAATACTGAGAACTTATAGGCAACTGCTCGGCAAAGCTCCAAAGCTACTTTGGTCATTTATTCGGCTTATATATTCGGCATATCAACTGCAAATTCACGACTTATTCGGCATTAGCATCTCGGAAATTCGGCTAACATTATTCGGCTCATTGATTACTCGACAAGACTACTCGGCCACACACGGTAACATGCTCCATAGCATTGGACATCCTCGGCACAAAACTACAATTATTAACTGTTATTAACTTGCCTACCTCTTCGACAAAAATCTCATGCTTATTATCTCAGCATAGAACTAGCATCTCGGCTTGCCGAAATCAACATCTGAATATATGAGAGGATTCGCGTCAAATCAAGGAGTCCAAACCCACCAACCCGAGCAGCCAAGAAGTAACCAAAGTTCTCTGAAAATTGCGAAACGGACCACATTTTCTGAACATTAAAATTTTCAAAGTTGTCGAAATCAAGTTTTGATCATCCCAATGTGAAGTACTCATCGAGACGAATCCAACGCAACAAACCGCGTCAAAATCAATGCTAAAACGAAGTCGTATGAGCTGATCAAAGTTTGCCCGGAAAATGAATTCTTTCGCTGGAGAAGTCGACTCAGAAAGAAAGCTATAAAGAAATAATCTTGTGCTTCGCGGTTGCTTTACACCCTGTTGATCTAAGCCATTCGATCCATTTTGGCTACAATTACGCCATTAGGAGTCTGATCACAGCGATCCAATAGTCCTTTCTATCTATTTGACGCATTCCGGATCCATCTATATAGTCAAAATTTGCAAATTCTGCTCAAAAAAAAAAAAAAATTTGTCGATTTTATTCAAAAATTTAGCGCAATGGCTCACTTCGCATATCACCAAGCACTCTACTTTGTCTCGGCCTCATTCCAATTTCACCACGGCACCGACCAGGGACACGGAATCCGTTTCAAATTGTTATCGGCCTACTCGGCAATTTTAGCCCAAGTCAATTTTATTCCTTCCGAATAACCAATCTTATTCAAAAGCAATGGGGGCAAGTATACATTGGACAAGAAACTCAACTTCAATAAATTGGCAACCATTGCCAACCAAGTTCTTAGCAAATGCCGACACACCACGATGTTAAGAAAAATCGCCGACCAAAAGATCGGCACAATCATCGACCCAAGTGTAGCTGACCAACTTTTCAGCAAAATCACATTATATATGAAACGGACACCGATGTTTTGACACTAGTTACTTGGCAGTGCATCAACTTTACTCGGCAAGATCATTCGACACCATTGTTAAGTCAACATTATGCATGATCATTATTCGGCCGTGCATCAACTTTATTCGGCTAAACAACATTATTTGTCAACTTTATGCATTGTCAAACTTTATGCAGCAACATTGGCCACAGTATTCGGCAACTTTATTCGCCTAACGACATTATTTGGCAAAACAATTGCCCACTGGGACATCTTAGTCAATTTTCCACTCTCCAATTGGGGCACATTAGCCGATCATCATCTCGGCACCTTTCATATGCATGCACACTCGACCAACTTGGTACAAACATTACAACATTTACTTGAGTTACACACTCCCGTTCCTTTTCACACCGCTCTAAGCAAGTGCCAGTTTTGGGGCAATACATTACACACTTGGCAGTCGACCATTAGCACTTGGCAATCGACAATTCACATTTGACAGTTAGCAGTTCGCATTTTGTTGTGCGCCATCATTTTACCGAAGCCGAATCTTCCCTGCAACATAGGGCAATCGGAATCTGCATTCCTCCCGACTAACACCTATCATTCGAAAGCAATGGGGCAAGTCTACCTTGGACTAAACACAAACCGAGCAACTCGGCAATTAAATAGTTGGCCCAATATCTACTTGGCAATTCCTTACAAGCGAAACAATAGTATTGGTGATTAACACGTCCACCTTATTTGGTACAGGATGCATTATTCAAAGTCCTTGCCATATTGGCACTTGTTTGCCACTAAAAATCAGCAAAAGTCTTCGAGTACAGCGCAATCTTCGCACTCGGCACAGAGCGCCGTTAGCAAAGGCCTACACCCATGCCCGGGGGTTAGAATACTGCGGCTTACACCTATGCCCGGGGGTTAGAATACCGCAGCCTACACCCATGCCTGGGGGTTAGAATACCGCGGCTTACACCCTCGCTCGGGGGTCATAATATCGCGGTCCATTTTTGGGCTGATATATCTACCTTATTTAATCTGTCTTATTTGGTTCAGGTAATCATTTCCGTGCTCGGCATATAGAAATATTTCTAGCTCGGCACGAAAGTCCATATTTGGAAGCAATCTTTGCACCCGACAATATATTACACCCTTGCCCGGGGTTATAATACTGCGGCCCACACCCTTACCCGGGGGTTATAATATCGTGGCCTATCGTTATAGAGATAGTATTACTCACTGGGCTTTAGCTCACCTCTTTCCTCTATATACATATATTTGTACATAAATTCATACATACATGCATTCATCCAGCCATTCATTCATTTATGTTATTCATTTATCAAATATATTTTTTGTCAAAAAACCTAACAGTTATTTGAACAGCATAACTTGGCAAGGAAAAACTCTCATTCCTTCTATCGTAGACAATGAAAGTTTTGAGACAATTGTGGGATCCAGAAAATTATAGGCCTGCCAAGGGCCCAACTATTGGGCTTATTCGGCCCACCCCCGTCTATAAAAGGAAGGCACTTCATGGCATATGGCAGGTAATCTCTCTCCCCCACATAGCACACAAACACTCTTGATTTCTATACATTCATTCTTCTAATAAAAGGGCTAACTTTAGCATCAAAGTGTCTCCGGCCGGCAATCCCGGTTGGGTGGCGCCGATCATGTTCGTCTTTGTAGATCTACAGGGATGAACCTCTTCTCTTCGTTGGATCTCTACAACATCCATGTGAGAGGATATTTCATAGTCTCACAGTATGCAAATAGGTCCCTACTTCTCATTTTAATTGAAGGAAGAGAGGTCTATCAACGTTAAAGTAGATAACCAATTGGGTTAGTTGAGTTGATTAATCATGTACATTGTCAATTGAATTTTAAGTGATTAATTATAGCCATAGATAAAAATTAATTACTTGTTTTCTTTCATAGCACTTTTATTTAGTTGTTTATTTCTTTCTTATTATCGGTTCTTTCTTATATTAGTTGTTGGTATTATTATTACAAAAATAATAATATTAAATTAGATAATTAATTTTATTAAAAAATTCAACAAGACAAATGGTAAGTCTATATGGTTAAGATTTGTTTGTCGAAGCGAGAAATCTGGTGTTGTAAGAGAAGGGGTATTGGGTCAAAATAATAAACAAGTTGAGTTAATGTTGAAATAATTCTGACACAAATCTAAAATAACACAACCCAACATGATACAATGCCCACCCTTAATGGATAAAATGTTTGAATTAATGGTCATGGACAAAATTTTGAGAGCATTTTCTTATGCTGAAGCACTCTTTATTACATAATAAGGGACACCAAAATACAATTAGTTTAGAGCTCTAATCTAAATTGGAACTTTCACTAGTCTCCTATTTTTCTTTATTCAAACCATGCAAGTGAATTTGTCTTTATTTCAAATTATTTATTTGAATTTTTGAAAAGTTAAGTCAAAATTTCAACCTAATCATATTGGTGGGAAAATGAACTTTCATCCCCAAATTTGTTTAGTATTTTTAAAATTACAAGGTAGAAAGACTTGAGCATCATAGAGAAAAGCGTATGCTCTCAGAATTACAAGAGGTCACAACCTATATCAACATCACAAATCTTAGTTGGTTAGGATACCAAATTCAAAACAAGAAAAACAGTAAGAAAGAATCTAAAAAACCAGCAAAAAAAAATCATATACTCTCCAAAAATTCACTAGTATTGTAAAGGAAGTCTTCAATGGTGACAATCACAATTCAGATTTTACCTTTACCCATGAAGCTACTCACTTTCACTAATTTGATTACATTTTCCCAATCGATTTTCTCTTTATCAAATGTGCCTATTCCTGCTTAACCATAGAGACCACGTGATGGTGGAAAATAGTCTCCCAAATTAATTTTGTCAGATCACAGTACAGGAAATGAGGATTTTGGCAGCGTTTTTTAACGACGCTTTTTTAACGTCATTTTTTAATATTTAGCGGCGTTTTAAAAACGTCGCATATTTCTTCAACTAAAACCGGCACTGTTCTGTAGTAGAAACGCCTCCAAATACGGTAGGCCTCACGCTCCGATTTTGAATGTGGGATAATTGTTAAAGCCTTTGTAAACCCTAATTTTGAATCCTCACGGCTTCAAATCTCGCCTCTCTCTCAATCTGAACCCTTATCATTCTCACGATGTTGCTCCAGAGCGGTGTCATCCTTCAGAGCGATTTCGATTTCGAAGCTCCACCACCACCACCGGCGAGGTAGCGAGCACAATCGGCGAGCGATTCCGATTTCGAATCTCCAGAGCGGCGTCTAGATCTCTCTCTTCATCTTTGAGATTCAGAGATTCAGATCGGTCTCAGTGATTTCATCTCAGAGCTATTTCGATTTTGAAGTTCTCTCTGTCGATTTCCAAACTCCAGCGAGGTATCGATTTCTCTCTCTCTCTCTCTCTCTCAAGCTCTTCCTTCCTGTCTCTCTCGATTTGGTATTTATTTGCTTGGAAACCTGTTCAATTTCTTCTTTTGTTTGCTTTGTCATTCTTCCTGACTATGTTGTTTTTTGCTTTGAGAAAATGCCAAATGTGATTGTGATTATGACATTTGTTGGATTTGAGATCATTGACACTCGTATGGTTAAAATCTGGCTGGTAGCTTAGCCAAACGCTGGTAATTTGTTGCAGGAAGATTAGATTTCTGATAACTAGTTGAATTTCAGTTGTGCAGTTAGCATTATTAAACTGAATTTATCTTCTTATTGAGTCAATGGCCTGTTCTGAATAATCTTTTTTGACTCATTCTGTATTCTGTTATCATTTTCATTTTTCATTTTGCCTTAATTGCCTACTTTAATGTCTGGACTTTTACTAGTAAATGCAAAAAATCATCTACCACTCTTTCAAATATTGTTAGGTATTTGACATCTCAACTCTACAAATAGAAATAGAACAAATACAGGTGCTGCATACTACATACTCATCAAGTGTGCAACTCATCCCATTGCCTAGTTTAATTGAAGCACTTGAGGAATTGGATTTAAACAATGCAACTGGAGGCCTTTAAACAATGAATGTTTTATATTAGAATAACTCATAAAATAATCATTATTCAGAACGGAGGGAGGAGTGAGCTAGGGTTGACATGTCCTCATATTAGAATGACTGATGGGAATTTATTTTGGTTTGTAGCATTTTTCCCCCTCTTTCCTTATGACCTGCTACTGGCTAGGGCCTTGTTTGATGAACATTCCCCAAATTTTTGTATCCATGTTGGGTTTAGCAATGCAATGTAAATAAGGTCAGCAGTTAGACAGTAAAAAGCTGTCTAGATGGAGAACTCCACATATATGTTGCCTAAACATGTAAACATCATATTAAGCTCTATTTTTTCGACTGAAAAAGCCACTATTTGGCTATTTAAGCCCAAAAAAAAAAAAGTTTGTTTTTCGGCTTAAAAAGCTAACAATTGAAAAGAAAGAAGCAACTAAGAGACTTTTCTACTTCAGCAACGCTTCAGGTAAGTTGTCCTTACATGCAAAATTCAATGTGTCATCTTTTCTACTTCAGGACTTTGCAATTATTTACGATAGATTCTTATTTCAAGGAATTGACATTAAAGAAATGCTTGTTGGTGCATCATTGATGGATGAGGCAAATAGGACCACCGTGGTAAAGATTTATTATTCATTCTCTTATTATTATTACTATTATTTTTAAGTCGTTGTTGTCTTCTGATAGTAGTTTTGTTACTTGAGTAGCCCAACTATTCTCGTCTTCTCAAGCAACTGAATAATGGACTTTCTACAATTGTGGGAAATGCATTTTCATCTTCTTCACTTTCTTCATCTTCTCATTCTTCTCCTCCATATTTCTTTTTTCTGGCCTTGCAAGGATGGTCCATCTCTTTCTCGCTATACAAAGGTATTGTTATATGTTGAGGTGTGTGTCCCCCACAATAGTTGTGTACCTTTTGTGTGGTCCATTGAAATTAAATATTTATATACAAAAAAAATAGGCAAGGATTTGGTGTATTTGCAAAGGTTATTTTTCTTGCATAGTCAACAAAATGGGAGTGGGTGGAGATGTTCATTGGTGTAAACTAATCATGAGGGGGAAATTAAAGTTAAAAATTGGTTGGTTCTGTTTTAAAAAATGATTAATCAAATCAGTTTGGATTTACTTATTCATTATGAGAAAGCTGTTCCATAAGACCATTATCAAAATTGCACAACCCACTCAAATCTTTCACTGAACGAGTCTTGTTTTTCTGTTTTATTCAGAATCTCAGATCCTATGATAACTTGGTCTTTTTTTATTTTGACAAATTGGATTCATTGTATTACTGGGAAAATTAGTGGGGCATAATGCATTTTTGCAAATTTTATGTCATTCCTAGATAGTTGGCCCTTGTTTCTGAGTCATTCCTGTAATTGAATGATGAAATTCTGGAAGTTTCATATCTTGCAAAGCCATAAGATATGTATCTGGTTCAAAATGCAAAGTTTAGTTTGCTTATCCCTCCATGGCTTCTGGTTAGTTCAAGTGTTCTTTGCATAGTTTTTGTAGTACTTGGACTCTAGGTATTAAAGGCACTGTTATGCACATTCCCCTACTGTTAGTATTCTTTTTCATATATGAATTGTAGAGACTGTTAGTCACAGATGCATCTACAAAATTTTTGGATGATGCTCTTCAATCTTTTTGTTCATTTAACGTTCTAAATTATACATTCTGTTTTTAAGCTTATATTGACTATCTTATGCATTTGATATGCTTTGCAGTCATGCAATTCTTAGGTATCTTGCTTGTGCATTTCCTGGAGTAGTTGATCACTGGTGAGAATTGTTGCTTCTTTTTTGCAATTAGTTTGCCTATAAAGACCTGTGTTATATCAGTACTTCATATTGTGTTAGATACCAATTTCAGACACGAGACAACATGGCATGGGTGTATGTACACATACCCTACAGTTTTGTCTGTCAAGACTTAGGGAGCACATTCTTGGTTTCCTCAGATTCCTTACAGTATGTTAACTCAATTTTAAAATGAGGGAAGACACCTACTTCCTGTAGTTAAGCTTGGTGGTGTTCATACCCTTGAATCTGGTTCAAGTTTTTCTAGGAGCTCGGAACTATATTAATTTGAAACTTAGCTAAACAGTAACCTCCTATAACATGCCCATTTTTGAAAACTGAAGTTTCCATATATGATATCCTGTCTCGTGAACACTTCAGCTTCCCAGGGTATAGGAGAACCAAACAGGACAAGTTCAACAATTTTGCCATGTTTCTATCCTAAAATTTTGAGGTTTGATAAATATGAGATTTGATGTTCACTTAACATACTTTTCATTTTTTTACAAAATGCATGTCTATTTCACCTGTGGTATTCATTGCGCATCCCAAAGCTGTTATGTACTTGTGTCTCATATTTGATTCTAATATTTATATTCTGCAGCCTGGTTCTTAACAATGTTTTCTGTTCATTCTTAAAGGTGTCTGATCTATTCAAAAGGTCAAAGATTGAATCAGTGTTGGATTGGCATCACTCTAATTTACGCTGTGGTGCAGGTATTTTATTCCCAATGTTTTGGTATAGTAATTTTTCACCCTTTTATTTATATTTTCTAAGGTCTATGTCGTTTTTGATTGATCTTTCCTTTTCAGCTACTTATGTTCTAAATACTATGCTTGCACCTGTGCTTGGCCTTCAATTGAATCCACAAGCTGCTGCTGAAGGTGAAAAACTATTGTTTGCATCACTTGCAAAGATTGAATCTTTTTGGTTGAAGGGGAATGGTCGGTTTTTGCTAGGAAGCTCTCAGTAGTTCGAGTGGAGGTATAATTATTCTCTCACATCAATTAAAAGTCTTTTATTTTGCCATCTTGAGATTGAAAATCCATAAAAGCTTCATGAAGTTTGAAAAAGCAAGTTTTGCAATGTATCTTGTTAATATTAATTAACCTTTAGCTTTTTGTGTGCTCAAAGCCTTGGAAACCTGCCTTTTCCAATAACATATTTATTTTTAAGTTATTATTATTGTATTACTATTTAGTAATACAACCTTGCTTTGGACTAATTGCTAATAGATAGGGAATCTTGATTAGAATAATTATGGTTGGTAATGACTAGGTTCTGAGCTGAGCCTATTGAAACTCCATGGCCAACAACTATATAGACGTCATTTTGGTTATCTTATCTATTACACTGAAAAAAATTGTGTATATGTGTATTTGTCATTGTGGCCTTAGGTCGTGTCCGGCACTTGCTCAAAATTTTACTCAAATTTGAGTAAAAACTTTATTTGATATGAACTACTCTAATGGACCTAATGCCAAGACGAACCTTCCCAATTCCTTCCAAACTTTGTCTAACTTTGCCACAAACCTCTGTATCATCTTCGTTGCGGCATCTAGAACACCGGGGCCCTCCCAAGGATGGGCCACCCACCTTGCAAATTTTGTTGTTATTTTGCTTAAATTGTGTGGATTTTGTACCAAGTGTTGTTTCGCTGATGCGATTTTAGACTAGGTCGAATTATGATTTTTTTGTTATTTTGTTATTTTGCCAAGAAAATAAAAAAAGAAAAGAGAGAATGGAAATATCATAATCATCATTATTGTAGACTTGTAGTGATATTCATTAATAATGAAACTTGTAAATCTAAATATAGTTTATTTTATTTTTTGGGAGTGAATTCCAGTGTTTGTTGATTACAATATTTTTATTTTTATAGTTGAATTTCGGTGAACTGAAAATTGTGTTAATTGCGTATAGGTATTGCTTGTTTTAATTTCTTTCATATTTGGAATTGAACTTAACTAAAGTGCACTGCTGTGTAAATCTGTTGAATCATGGATTTCGAATTAAATCTTTTGGTTTGATTTAAATATCTTGAATATTCTGAGATTTTGGTTTTTTTTTTTTTTTTTTTTGAACTTTCTCAAGTCAGCGGATGTTGATTTTGTCTGGCAATAGTGGCTAGAAGGTATGAAACTGTCATATACGGGATGATATAGTATATCACAGCAAGAGGGGGGTGTTATTCAACAGAGTTACTGGTTTGTTAGATTTCTTTTGTTTGTTTCTTTGTGTAGATCATACTGCCACTGTGCCATGTTAGGCTTCTTTCATAGTCTATTGACATATTTGTGGAAGAAAAAGGGTAAACCACAAAAAAGTAAAAATGCACTTAGTTTATGAATTATGATTGTTTGTCTTAGGTTTCTTCACCAATTCTCATTGTCAAGGGAGCAGGGATTTATGCTTGGACACACAAAAGCTGGAGAGTTCGAGAAGAGTTTGCACGTACAGTCACATCAGCAATTGGTCTTTTTGCATCTACTGAGCTCCCTCTTCAGCGTGCTATTCTTCCTCCTGTATGGTCATTTATTATGTTTTGACTGTAGAATAGATACCTTACTTATTCTACATTAAAAAGAGAGAGAAACTTACTAGGTTTTTTTGAATTATCAGATTTTGCAAATGTTGAATGATCCAAATCTTGTTCCCTCCTCAGGAGATGTATACTCGGGCTGGGCCGCAGTTTCGTGATGAACTTCAGCGTCATCATCTTCCCACATCACTGGTGAGATAAAACCTGCTAACCTTAATCCCAAAAGGAGCAGTCCAAAAGCCAAGAATTCCACTCGGGAGGTGTCTCTGTTTGGAGGTTTATGTGCTTCAATTTAAAACTTCACAAATATTTTGGTGGTTGTTGACAAATTTATGAATTCATATGAAAAGGTCTTTCTCCAGATCTTATATTTTGTTATTGCCCATTCCTACTTGGTAAGATGCATTGCATTACTGTATGCATCCAGTACTTAAATATCTAAGACTATTTTTACTAGTTATAACTTTAAATCTCCTAGAGCTACCATACAACTTAAGTCTCTTATTGAATGATAGGTTGTGGATTCGCTTAGTAGTCATCCCATTGTTCAGCCAATGCCACATCAGCAACTATCTCATACATTTTCATCTCAAGAGGTGAACAATCATTTAATCAAAACCTTTTTGACAATACAAGACCTTATTAATTAAAATACTTGTTCTTATTAAGGTCAAGTTTGGCAAGTCCAAAATAAGTCAAAAAGTCAAAAAGTTACTCAAAAAGTTAAAAAGTTAACACTATTCACCAAAAGTCAACAATTACGGCTGCACAACTTCCAATTCTAATTTTCTCTTACAAATCAATTTTTACAATTTTTTATCACACATTTTTCCATAAAAAGTCAAAAAGTTAACCCAAACATCTATATTTTCTTCCTCAATTTTTTAGTTTAAAAAGACAAAAAGTGCACTTATTTAAGACACCCCAAACAACCCCTAAATGTAGGTTTACCTTTCAAAGAAAGAGAAGAACAAGAACAAGAACAAGAACAAGAACAAGAAGAACTAACAAGGTAAAAGTACCTACATCACAAGTTTTTAATTTCTGAACTTTCTAAATCGATTGGATCTGTTGCTGCCTATGCTTTCGAACTAGATGGGATTACTTACTCATGCTGAAAATTGACTCTTGGAGATGAAATAATATCGTTATATGCAGAATTGTGAATCTGGAATAAAAACTGATTAATTAGAACTGCTGCTAGAAATGATACTTTTGGAGTGTTTGTTTCTCTTCTGATGGTGAATCACAGGTAGTATGAACTTGCTGATATTGGCTTGTTTTAAAATGGTAAAAGATTTGCATAGTGCTTCTTCCTATTTTGGGACTCTTTTTTGGCTCCTTCACTCTGATTTTTCCTCCTTTTTTTTATTATTTATTTTTTAAAATTTATTGTACTGATTGCTGCTATGAACCTGGCAAACCTTTTATTACTAGATTCATTTTGAATTGTTGTGCTGTCATTTTCTTTCTTCATGTGAGCATGTGGTAGAAGATTTTGTTATCTGCATTTTGGTTATTATATATAGTCAATTGAATTTGGTGGTTGCTTGGATGATTTTCATCATCTAGTTCCTAATTATTTTTTTACTGTGTAACGGTCCTCTTGGAAATGATGACCATTCCTTGGCAAGAGATTGTCATGACCATGTTAAAGTGGCAATAGTATATGACAGTGTGATCTATTCGTTGGCAAGAGATTGTCATGACGATGACTATTCCTTGGCAAGAGATTGTCATGACCATATTATGCCAGTGATTACAGGGTTTTTGGAGTTAAAATTGAACTTTTGCATGAATAGAGTCAGTTTTTCATTAAATTTTCAACGAACTACCTTCCAGTGTGATCTAGCATCTTGTGTCTGTATGATTGACTTGGTAAACATCATGTTTACACTGCGCTTGAACCTTACAGGTGATTGCTTTTAGTGATGAGGAGGGAGTGAGATTTCAATCTACTTTCTTACTAATTGGTTGTAACGCTGCTTGTTCTAAGTAAACTGACAAGCAGACTTTGTTCAGTGGTCTGACATTGCAAAATGTTCTAAAAGAGAACTCTATAGAAATTTCCGAGGAAAGCTTCTTTGAGCTAAAGTATGATCCGGAGTCTGTTTGGGGTTATATGGAGGTATTCAGTCCATGTTGAATATCCTGTCAATTTGGGAATGTTTGTTAAAAAAATTTCAAAAAAAATTAAACACTAGTTTGGTGGGGGAAAAAAATGAAAATATCTTAAACACTAGTCATTTTCATATGTTTTTCTCTTTTGTGCTAACGTTATATTGTAACTTCTAGGCAGTTCATATTAATATTTGGAAGAGTATTGTAATATTTTTCGGATTTGTATTTGCATTCATGTTAACACACTAAGGCCTCGTTTGGGAACCCTCATTTTTAGTCAAAAAGTCAAAAAGTTACTAAATTAGTCAAAAAGCCAACAATTCATACCAAAAAGTCAAAGATTTTCTTTTTTTTCTACTTTTTGCACATTTTTCGTAAAAAGTTAAAAAGTCATCCTAAACATACTAGTTTTTTTAACTTATATTTTAACCAAATAGCCAAAAAGTTATTAAATTAACATGTTCCAAAATGAGGCCTAAATGTGTGTTTTAGTTGCCTTTGTTACTGATGGTGTGGCGTATGTAGCTACTTTTCTCTTTGTGCTTTGGCATTAATATTCTTAGTAATCTTTTGTAGCTTATTTTGTGTGTTAAATGGGGGAGTGGTGAGAGAGAGAAGAGGGTAATGTCATTTTGTGGCTTTGTATACAAAGTTGTAATTTTTTGATTGAGAATTGTGAATTCAATTTTTGGAAATGTTATTTTGTGGGTAATGGTGATTTGATATTAAATTGAATGGGAAAGTGAATTAATGTCGCATTTTTGAATGAGAGTTATTATTTCATATTAGTGCTATTCAATTTTATTATAGGTATTTTTTTAGTTCAATCACATAAAATTAGCACAATTTCAAAAAAAAAAAAAAAAGATAACAAGGCATTTTTAAAAATGCCACGGTTGGAATTTTTTAAAATTAAAAAAACCTATGACGGCATTTTAAAAGCGTCGCTAGAGTCAGAGTGACGTCACAGTACCGTTAGGATAGGACATTTGGCGGCGTTTATATAGCGACGTTTTCCAAATGTTATGAAGTTATAGCAACAGCCGTATTGTCGGCATTTGGTACTAAACGTCACAAAAAGAATTAGTGACTTTTTTCACACTTATAGCGGCGTTTTTTAAACGCTACTAAATGTGTACTTTCTAGCAGTGCTTGAAGTAACCAAGCCAGCTCAACAATATAGGCAACTTGGGAGTTTGCCTAAGCTGCACCAATAATTTCCTTCTTGCCAAAGGCCCCAACTGTCCAAGGCCCTAGAGCCTAAGGCCTCATTTTGATGCTTGGCCTAGGGCTCAAAAAACCTTAGGCAACTACTATGAAGTAAACCACCAATTCATCAAGCTTTGTAAGTTACCTGGAAAACTTGCATGACTGATTACACAATAACAACAAATGAGCTGTTGTTTCAACCTCTGAATCGAAAAAAAAAAAAAAAATCTCTTACTACTAACAGACAATGGTAAAACTTGCATGACTAATTACACAGTAATAACAAATGAACTGTTGTTTCAATCTCTGAAAAAAAAAAAAAAAAAACTCTACTGCTACTAGCAGACAATGGTAAGATATGTTAATTAATTAAAAGATCCTTTGTAGAAGTGCTTGCCAACGAAAAATTTGGATCCTTGGAGGAGCTAGACTTGTCTCGATTGTCCTTACAGGGTCGAAGCGCAATCCCAAAGCTCTCCTCATAACAGATGCAAAAAGAGTTTACTGAAAATTAATAGCCCATTCTTTTCACCTTTTCAGTGAATACCATCCTCCTTATGAATGTTTATTTCACATTGTCTAAAATTCTCTGCGGTTCTTTTAAACAATCCTCCTCCCATACAAATAGTTGTCTCCTAAATTCCAATCTCCACCTCTTACTTTCACAGTCATGAATAAACACTCCAGCTACACTATCAAGTTTTCCATTGAAAGTGAAAAATAACCTAGGAAAATTTTGCATTAATGATTTGTCACCAGCCCAAATATTAGTCCAAAACTTCCAATTTAATCCATCTCCTATCTTCAACAGCATATTACTCATATATTCTCTGGTAACCATAACTTTTCATCTCCGATGTACTACTTATAAATTTTAATATCTTTAGTACTAATAATGCTTTCTTTTCTTTCCCAAACGTCCGCCACCATTTTGACAGTAAGGCAAAATTTTTTATTCTGATGCCACCACTAGCCCCAAAACTCCATTATAGTAGAAATCTTTTTCCAATTCACCAAGTGAACTTTCCTTTTTTCAGAACAAAGGAAAGTTATGGTTTGTTAATCAAATGATTGACGTGCAGAAGTAATGTGGATGATCAGAGTTAAGCTTTTATCAAGGTTGAAGTAGATGAAGCATTAACAACAAAAACAAAGCCAATTAAATCTGATGTTGAAACAATATCAGCAACATTATCGGTTATCATAGTAAAGAAAACGACCACATCACTCCACAATAACAGATACATACTTCTTAATTATGTTATAGAACACCAAATGTTCTTTTTTTAAAAGGCAAAATAAAATATTTTATTGACGAATAATGTAGTACAAGCAGTACAACGAAATTATATCAATAAAAGATGCACATTCCAACTAGAACGGCATATGCATCAAGCAAAACATAAACCAAACTCAGGCCAAGCCAAACAAACTTGGCAAGACAACAACACCAAACAACCCTTGTAAAGACAAGGTGAATCACCAAACAAAATCAACCCCACTCCAACAGCAAACCACAACACACAGCAAAAAGAACACAACTACAAAGAAGAAAATTCCAGCAATTCCAAACAACACTCGAGCAACTCTAACCATCACTCAAGACAACAATGAGGCACCACCATAAAGCTCAGAAAACTCCGAACTGCACGAATTTGACAGCAAAAATCCGTCAGCAACACCACAACCACAACACTAAAATCGAAAATCATTCACCACCTCAACACTAGATGTTCTGTCTAAACTCTTTGCATATATCCACAAGCTAATTAAAGTTGTTGGTTGCCTAAAGAAATCTTCATCTCATACACATGAAATTACAAAGCTAAACATTCACCATGTCCTCCTTGATGGAAAGCAAGCAAGCATGCAAGATAGATGACTGAGGCACTTGTCTTTTTGTTAATCAAGTGAACTCGTCGCTATGTTTAGTTCTTCATACTCTTTAGCAAGCTAGAAACCTGGAAAGCACCAACCGGGGGTTGGTTCAGTGGATAAGACCTTCGAATCCCTCGCTCAAGGCTTGGGTTCGAGTCTCCATAGCCCCTTGTTGGGGTTAAACATATTCCTTAGCGCCTAAGCTTCGGCCCCGATGTAGGTGCGATGGGGTTCCCTGCAGATATGCTGTAGGTGCTAAGGGGCAATACTCCCTGGCGGATATGTTGGAATAGCCTATCTGCATATCCATTTTAAGAATCAAAAAAAAAAAAAAAAAAGAAACCTAGAAAGCAAAATTGAAAAGCAGAGAAGATCAGAAAAAAAAAATTTAATACACTAAAATTATAACATATAAAAACTAGTGGATTTAGGGAAACAAAACTGATGCAACCCAAAAAAAATCCAGGATTGAAATTGTAGAAATTTAGGTAAATTACAAATACACCCCTTGAGGTTTACTTAAAAACATGAATTTCACCTTATGATTTTGAAAATTATATTCCGCTCGTTCAAGTTTTTAATATTATAACAAATGACCCCTTTCATTAATAAATCATCAAGCCAATTAATAATTCAAATAATTTTATTATTTTATAAAAAAGTAATTAGAAATTTTATTTTTTCTATTAATTATGTTAAATAAAAAAAATGATAATAAGAAAAAATCTATTTTAACCAAATCTCATAGATGTATTTGTAATTTATCCTAAAAATGTTAACCATGTGGTTGAAGAGATGCAAAGAGCAATTTTACCTTCACGCTAGAATTAGGGGTAGACAATTCCTTACGCTGAGAGATTTAGGGAAGGGATTTGAAAAGGAAAAGGAAAAATGTGTGTGAAATAAGGTGAAATATAGGTATATTTTATTCACATTTCACCTATATTTTCTTTTTCTTTTTCCAAAGCTCTTCTCAAATCTTCTAATCAAACACAACATTAGTAAACAATGAGAACAAGTAACAAACTACCCCCCAAGGCTTCCGTTTCTTCTTGTCTATTTTCATTTTCATTTTTTATTTTGGAAATTGGAAGGCATTACTTGTTTACCATGTTGTTTTTGTTTTTAAATAAAAATAATGTTAATTCTAAAATTTTCAAAATTTTTGAAAATGGATCCTCCAATAATATACATCTACGAAAAAAACGTATATCATATACAAGTTATGATACTTTGTGATAGTCATTTTGTAGTGTTAATACCAAAATGTGTCATAGCAAAATTACTTTTAGTCATAATTAAAGAAACTAAAATAAATCAAACCAAACGTCATTTGAGTTATAAGCAAAGACTTCTTTAGTCATAACTAAAATAACAATTATAATAGTTTATAACTAAATTGTAATCAATACCATAATGAGTTATGGTCAATCAAGTCACCACCAATACCACAATAAGTTATAATCAAACATCACTACACTTATACGTATACCAAAAGATTTCTTTGATCATAAGCAAAAATAACAATTATAATAAGTCATAATTAATTCATAACCAACCACGATGAGTTAAGCCAATACTACAATTAGTTATAATCAAATAGAGAAAAGTTAGGAATCATGAATATTTTTTCATGAAAATGATCATGAAAGAGTTATGGTCATTGGATTACCTTGATTAGTGTGTGGTGCTTTATTCTAAGTGTAATTCAAGGGTCACAAAACTTTCATGATTATTTTCATGAAAAATTTTTCATGATATCTAGCATTGCTGAATCAAATAACACAAAGATATATATGGTATATATATTTTAAAGTGTGTATTATAGAATGTGCAGATATAAGCAGATATACTTTCAAAGTAAAAAGTATCATAAAAAAATAAAATAAAAAAGTGTGTCGTTGCACCTGTGGAACGAGATAATAGTTCGTATTTCAGTTCAACAGGTGTCTGCCTCCAATGGTGTATGCTCGGAATATGCCGAACCTTTTGGTGATCCTTGCTCCCTTCTCCACGTATGCATTCTATGAGCTCATTCGTAACAAATGTCAAAAACAATCCTTGGAGATCTTCGAGATACTCGATGCCATGAGGCAGTATCTTCAACTGCATACATTTCCGAATAGAAAATTCTTGGAGACCTGGCATCACCCCCCTCTCTATAACAATCTCATTTAACTGAGGAAAATTGCACAACTCCAATTTTCTAAGTTTATGGAACCCTTCACTAAAGCATAATTGTCCTCCTCCTTCATATGCATTAAAAAGGTGCAACCGTCCCAAATTCGGAAGTGCTTGAATGTATGGAATAGGGTCTTCTGTTAGTCTGGACCATCGCAATGACAAAAAAGTAAGGTTTTGAAGTGACTGAAACCAACAAGGCACTTTCTCCAATTTTCCAACTAAAGCGAGCTTCGTGAGGTAGCGAGGAGTTGAGGAAGTGATACTTATTAGTTGTTATAATGTAATGCTAAGTATTTTTTGTGATTTTAATACAAATCTTTTGTCATTTACCTTAAATTTTTTTTTTCATTCAATAAAAAAAAATGTGAAGGCCCCAGAAATTTAGTAGTTGATTATCGGCTTTGGGTCTCGAAAATCTCAGGACTAAGACTCCCATGACTTAAACCAATAACGCTTTATTTGGAATTTCACAAAAACTTACTCCAAGAATATTGAATAATTTTTTTTGTATGGTACACCCTTTTTTGGGTGTGTATAATAAAATTTATAAAAGCATATATAATATCAAGCAAAATGTGTTGTAAGAGAAATCAAAAAAAGAAAATGGGTCATCGCAGCTGTAGAATGAGATAAGAGTTCATACTTCGCCTCAGTTGGTGACTGCCAATAATGGTATATGCGCGGTATATGCCAAACCTTTTGGTGATCCTTGCTCCTTTCTCCACGTATGCATTCCATGAGCTCATTTGTAACAAACGTCAAACGCAATTCTTGGAGATCTTCAAGATACTCGATGCCATGAGGTAGTATCTTCAACTGCATGCATGTCCGAATATGAAAGTCTTGGAGACCTGTCATCACCTCCCTCTCTATAATAATCTCATTTAACTGAGGAAAATTCCACAATTCCAATATTCTAAGTTTATGGAACCCTTCACTAAAGCATAATTGTCCTCCTCCTTCATATGCATTACAAAGGAACAACTGTCCCAAATTCGGAAGCGCTTGAATGTATGGAATAGGGTCTTCTGTTAGTCTGGACCATCGCAATGACAAAAAAGTAAGGTTTTGAAGTGACTGAAACCAACAAGGCACTTTCTCCAATTTTCCAGCTAAAATGAGCACCTTCAGGTGGCGAGGAGGAGTTGAGGAGAGTGCATCCATTCGTAGGTATTCATCCACATCAATCACCTTCACAGACAAGCGACAAAGGAGACTCATATTTTGGATTGCAGTACACAAGTCCTCCTCGTCTACTTCTCTCACCTTTGTGATTCCAATCCTTTTAAGTTGTGTCATGTTCTTGATTCGCTTCATCAAGTCTGATTGTGCTTCTACACCTGCCAAAACTTGCAAGTTTTTTAGCTTGCAAATATTAGATGGTGTTGTCGTACCACGAACAAACTGAAATTCATCCAAAAGTTCATAGTCAAAGTGGTACATCTTTAGATGTCGCAAATTTCTCAACTCTGTGATTCCAGCTGGAAGCACTTCTATTTTGCAGTCACTAATGTCTAGAGTATTTAGGTTGCACAGTCTTCCAATGGATTTTGGAAGTTCCTTCACCCTAGTTCCTTTCAAGTTCAAGTACCTTAAATTGAATAGATCCACTAGTTCTTCAGGCAATACTTCGATCGGTGCATCCTCAAGATCCAATACTCTTAACAATCGTAAGCTTAGTGGCAATGCTATCTCCTCAACAACAAATACAAGAAGAGATCGAAGCTTCAACATGCCCTTCCAATTCCCCAATTGTGATTCTCTACCAATTGATTGAATCGACATGCGACGATTTGTTGCACTTTCTTCTTCATCATTTGCCTCTCGCCCATCATATACAACACAAAACTTCTCCGTTTCTGATGTGGAAATTGCAAGCTCACGCATAAGATCATGCATCTTACAATTTTTTGGCCTTCCTAATTCATTTCTCATTACGACTTGAAGCATGCTTCGGCAAATAAGCTCCATAAGGTAGCTTTCTGCTACCTCCTCTGGTGTTCTCCCTCTCACCTTTTCTACGAACCCTTCTGCCATCCAAAGTCTAATGAGCCTCTTTCGTTTAATCTTATAATCTTCCGGGAAAAGACAACAATATAAGAAGCAACACTTTAGTCGGTATGGCAAATCATTGAAGCTAAGCAACAATATAGTTTTCACAACTTCTAGCCCAGGGTTGTTGCTCAATTCCCAGCTCAAGCTGTTATAAATTTTTCTCCATTCCAACTCGAGATATTTAGAAGGCATGACACCCCCCAAAGCTACAATTGCAAGAGGAAGTCCTTTACATTTTGCAACAAGATCTTGAGCTACGGATTTGAGATGTTGAGGACAACATCTATTTGGATTGCTTGAAAAAGCTTTCATACAGAAGAGGTTCCATGCATCACTCACACCCAACAATTTGATATAATGGATACGACTTTTTACCCCAAAAGAAGATAAAGCTACATCTTCTTTTCGGGTTGTAAGTATGATCCGACTTCCTAGTCCTTCATCAAGAAGTGATACATGTATATCCCTCCAGAGGTTGCTACTCCATACATCATCAAAGACAATTACGTACCTTTTCAACCGTAAGAAGTCCGTAATCATCTCTATGAGCTCTCTATAGCTCATACTGCTTAAATCCATTGGAATTGCTTCCTTGGCACCACGGTAGAATTCCTTAATCATGCTTCTAAGTAAGTCGTCGGCTACATATGTTTGGGAGACAGTTATCCATGCATAGCAATCGAATTGTCTCTTGACAATCCGACTGTTGTAGGCCTGGGCAACCAGAGTGGTCTTACCTGAACCACCCATCCCCACCACTGAAATAACCGTGCGTTGTGGTTCTTCTTTGTCCATCAACCAATCCAATAGTTGTTCCTTTCCATCCTCGATCCCCACTAGATCATCATCTTTAAAAAATAGAGAAGACTCGCCGAGGTTTGGCAGCCGCCTCTGATGGTCTTGGGAGCTTGAGCTTCCTTCTCCTACACGATCGACCCCATAACGTCGGTTTCTTTCTGGGATGGCTTTGATCATGCTGTTGATTTTCTGTAACTTTGTGGCTATTCGTTGCCTCACCCATAGATTCTTTGGGGCGTAGACTATCTGACGGAGGAACCTTGTGAGTTTACCATATACTTTTTGCTTGTTCATGTAATACATGTATTCGTCTATGATATCTTCAACCTCGTAGGCTAAGTCTCTAACGTTGGCCACCCAGGTCTTCTCTCCTTCAGTCTGGGCTATTGTTTTATCGGCATCCTCAAGAAAAGATCTCATGCTTGCGAACTCGAGCTTCAGTTGGTTGAGTTCATCACGTACTCCTCCAATCAACGATGCTTCGTTCTCAAGGGCGGAAACTATCCTGCCAATCACAAGTCCCACGGCTGATAAGGCCATGTTTAGCTTTCTACCTTCCTCTCCTCTTACTTCTTAGCACCCTACTCTCTCTTGTCTTGAAGATGAATAGTTTGTAATATGTACCTGGTTCACTTTGTTTCTTTCATTTTTTTCGGCGTTGGTTCATTTGTCACATCATTACATATGGGACCTACGCAACATTATATGGACCAAACCTGCCCAACATTGTTGACAATTGTTCATATATCACTTAGTTTTATATTATCATATTATATTATTAGTAGTTGATTCGTGTAACACACATGTTAATTTTTTTAAAATATTTAATGGAACACTATGGGCTATAAAATAATAATTTTAATTTTAATTATTTATTTTAATAATATTAACGCTATTGTTCTATAAAATTGTTACTTGAATACTTATATATATTAATTTTAGTTAAATTATTTGTTTATTTTGATAATTTTAGTTCTATCGTATTATAAAAGAGTAATTATCATACAATAATTTTGTATGATATATATTAAATTATAACATAGTAAAATAAATGCTCATTTTGACATTAAAAATAATAGTTAAATTAGAAGAAGAATTAGTAACATAAAATTAAAAGTAATTCTAACTATTTAATTGTCTTTTATATTCATTTAGAAAATAAAAATATGTAGAAATATAAATTATATAGAATTTATTAAAAAAATTAAATATAAATATATTGTAATTAGATTATCATATAATGATTTTATATGATATATATATATATATATATTAAATTATAAGATTGCAAATAAACCCTCTTAATTAAATTAAAATATCAACTATATAAAAGAAATTCAATAATGACTAATTAAGAAAGAATCACATAATAATATTTAAACACAAAAATAAAAAATAATGAACACATCCAAACGATAGTTACATTTCAGTGTATAAAGTGATTAATCATCTATAATATGATATCAAAATATAAAAGAATTTACTGTTCAACAATTGAAAAAGTAACTCAAGCAGTAAATACAAACTTTAGAGCTTCATATCATTATTGTGCAGATTTTTTCTCTTGTGAGTTGTGATTATATAAAATAATATAGGAAATGAAATATAATTTCATATATAGAATCACTATATGTAACCAAAAAATATATATATAGAATTGGTATTGGGTATAGAATAATGCACGAAAAAATAAGAAGAAAAAAAGGCAATTTAGCATTAAAAAAAAATCCTAATACCCTTGAAAGAATTAAGAAACGTAAAATTGGTATTGAGTTTGTGGATTATCTCAATTTATGATGAAAAATATATGGAAAAAAAATATTTGTCAAATAAAGTCTATAAAAAATAAGTGAAATTAGTATAATTTAAATTAGTTTTGAGTTTGTATAGAATTCTATATGTAATTAAACAAAATACATACTGACGTGGATTTCCTAGAAAGAAAAAAAAAAAGGCAAGTCCTAATAATATGTCACATAAACATGAAAAAAATACTAATTTTAATAATATATACAATTGTCCCTCCTGAATTATTTTTCTGGCTCCACGACTGGTGGAACTCATTCAATCCGTGCAACTATGATTTATATAAATATGATTATTAAAATATAGTTTTAAAATTAAATTATTATAAATATACGACATCAAATAATATATATATATAAAAAATTATGATAGACAAATTAGATAAATCAATGTAACATTCAAATGGTTAGTCCAAAATTTTGTGGTCGTTACTGTTCCATTACAGGATATTGTTGAATTTTCAAATGGGAAGTTTGTAT